GCGACATAATGAAAGGTTATGAAATTATATCTATAATTTGCTCTAAATATAGATTAAGAGTTATTTAACCATCTTTAATGGATAGGGAGGGGGTAAGATTATATTTTTGATAGTATAGGGGTGTGATTGATAATACATCAAACCTCAAGGGAGGTCAATGATAATTTCCCTTAATACTATAGTAATCACACTTAAGTGGTCATATTTTTGTAATCAAAATTTATTTTAGTCATATATACTAGCATTTGGACGCGCAAGGCGCGAGAGCTTTTGCCCAATGTCAACGTTTTTGTTTTGTTTTGTAAATAACTATTATTATATGTGAGATGTTTATAAGTCTTTTTTTAAATAGTGTGAGAAACTGTTCTTTTTGTAAATAATCGGATCAATTATATTTTTAGTCCACAACCTACTGTGTGGAAAATAGCCTATATGTTTTTAAAGCTATGTGATTATGTGAATTGACTATATTTTTCAATTAAGTATATGAAATAGTTGAAATGACAATATGCTCTTGAACTGTGACAATAGTGTCAACGCCTTAATTAATTATGTGCATATTGAGCTGGTAAGAGTATAGATGTTGGGTGAGTTTCGAAGTTTTAAAAAAACTTTTCCGAATACATGCCGCTAAGAGCTAAAGCTAAGAGCTGGAAAATCTTTTTCGAAAATTCTTGTTGTACACATCAAATCCATACACGCTCCATACATGCCGTCTATAACAGTATTTTTTGTTCGTGAATACACTGTTCACAAACAAAGCATATTTTATTTGTGAAAAATGTAACTTTGTTTGAATACCCTCAAAGACGTTGTGGCATGTAGGGCCGGGCGTGTATGGATTTGGGCATGTACAAATAATTTTTTGTAATTATTTACTAGGTTGAATATTCTCTTTGTGTATTCAGCAGCATGAAGTTTAGACTCAAGACTTTTTTGCTTGAAACAAGTTTTTAGTAAAATATACTCCATGAGTCAAGTTGATCGATATCCTTTTGATAACCTTAAATTAGATAGTACAGACGAGGCTATGTGGAATTCTGGGTTTTGAAAATCGACTTAACGGCAGTGGTGGATCTAGGCATCAAATGTCGGTGTATGCACACATACAATACTACCCCCATCTCTAAATGAAGTACCCGATCACTATTTTGTGGTCGAGTTAAACATCTTTTAATCTTTTACTTAATACGTCTAGCTTTAATGGGGAAAAAGTGCGCCATTAAAAAACTTTTAACGTAGTTTCTAAATATGTAAATTTTATTTGCTAAAATAATATGTGTATTCACAATGGATCGTTTGAATTTATCGCCAATCAAATATCGTAAATTGAAATGGAACCTTTATAATGGACGGAGGGAGTACTACACTAAATATAAACATGTGTATAGTAAAACTAACCTGGTGATTTGCATACCAAACATATTGAAGTGTTAGAGAATACAATTTGTTAAAATAATAATAACAATAGTTATAATAAATCTTATAAATATAAATAAAAAAAACTTATAATTTAGATCTAATAAATTAGAAAAAGAAGCTGCAGTAGTGAGTGAAGTCCTTTCAAAATCCAGAAATTTCTTTAATTTGTGCAAGGACTAGCAAATTAATTTTGATAATTGGATAGAATTTGTCATTTACGGTCCATTCACAATAAATTAAACTTCCATCTTGAACTAGAGCCTAGAAGCTAGCTTCTGAACTCTAGAGTAGAATTTTAAAAATTAAAAATATAAGGTGGACGTGTAGCCCCTAAGAAGGGTAGCAATTAAAATGGTAGTACCGGGTAAGCTGATAGCATTTTTTCAGGTGAAGCATTGGCTTACCCTAGTACGTTAAGCTATAGATCCGCCCTGCTTAACGGAAAACTAACGTTAAGGATAAAGAAGTTATATTAAAAGTAGAGTTCCATTTTCTAAATACAAGTTGAATAGATTAAACTTGTTTATGTACCCCTATAATACATATATGTACATCACTTCAAACTGTAGAGGACCCCTATAATACATATATGTACATCACTTCAAACTGATATTGAATACGTAGTAACTTATTTCCATTTCAAAAATTTGTCTGAACGCGTGGATTAGAGTGAATAGATTAGCCTCCTCACACATGACCAGTTTCCCTCCATACAACAGTGCCCCCGCTTGAGAAAAGTTCTAGATCTGTCACTGCGCGCGCACTTTAGTCCGCAATTTCTCGGGTTCAAAATGATTTGTAAAGTCAACTTTTCTTTCTCATCCCAATTTCAATTTATTTAACATATCAAAATATTATTATATTTTCATTTTGATTTGGGGACTTTATAGGCAGGGGCGGACCGTAGTACAGACCCAAGGGGGCTGCCGCCCCCCCAACAATTTTTTTTTAGTATATATATATACAAAAATTTTATTTTTACCCCACCAACATTTAATTCTCGCCCCTCCAAGAAAAATTTTGAACCCCCCCAAAAAATATTTTCTCCCCCAAAGCATAGCCCACTCGCAGAAACCCAATTGTTTAAGAGCCTAAAAAAATAGAAATTTTACAAGTAATATTATATCAACTCACTCCAAAATTTATTCCCCATTAACCCACCCCAAAATCTAATCCCAGCCCACCGCCCAGACCAAACTAATGAAAAACATGCGCACCTAGAAGAAAGAAACGGAAAGATCGATTATTTTTAAATGATTGTCCTTATGCCTACTATGTTCATTGCTTAGCAGATCAGTTGCAATTAGCATTGGTTGCTGCTTCTAGAGAGGTGAAATATGTGCACAATTTTTTCATCGATTCAATCTTTATTATTAATGTGACTAATTTTTCTTGCAAACGAAGTGATGAATTAAAGGAAGCTCAAGCACTTGAAATTGCAAGAATGTTGGAAATTGGTGAGCTTGAAACAAGCAGAGGAATTAATTAGGTCGGTACATTACAACAAGCTGGGGAAACTCGTTGGAGCTCACATTTCTGTTCTGTTTGCAGTTTGATTAAGATGTTTGCTGCAACTTGTTCTGTTTTAGAAGATGTTGAAGAGAATGGCAATAATTGTTCTACTCGTGGAAATGCAGCTAGAGAACTTAAGAAGATTAAATCTTTTGATTTTGTTTTCTTGTTGCATCTTATTAAAGAAATTATGGGCATTACAGATCTTCTATGTCAGCATATACAGAAGAAGTGCCAAGACATAGTAAATGCTATGCATTTGGTGTCAAGCACCAAAATGTTGATCCAAAAGTTAAGGGAGGTGGATGGGATAACTTCTTAGAAATTGTTAAAGAGTTTTGCACAAAGCATGAAATTGAAGTTCTTAATATGAAGTCTCCTTATGCGGTAAAACACAAACGCCATGATCAGGAAGGGTTTGATATTGAACGTCACTATCGGGTTGATATGTTTTACGCAGCCATAGATTCATAATTGTTGGAGCTGAATAGCAAATTCGGTGAACAGATAATGGATCTTCTTACTCTTAGTGGTGCTTTGGATCATAAGGACTCATATAAGTCTTTTAACATTGATGATATCTGTTCTTTAGTGGATAAATATTACCCCTTTGATTTTATTGAGCAGGAGAAGGTGAGCTTGAGGTTTCAATTGCAACATTATAAGCTCAATGTTCTAAACCATCCAAAGTTGGCGAATTTTTCTACAATGGGTGAACTTTTGTCAAAGATTAGCGGAGATGGAGATGTCAAAAGTGTACTTTCTTAGCTTGTTGATAAATTAATCCGACTTTTTTTGACTCTACCGGTTTCGACAGCAACAACCGAAAGGACTTTTTCCGCAATGAAAATTATAAAAACAAGGCCTCGCAATAAAATGGAGGATGAGTATGTTGCAGACAACCTTATTGTTTATATTGAAAGAGAAATTGCTAAAACTTTTGACTAAAAAGTCGTGATTGAGGAATTTATCTCGTTGAAGAAGCGTTGGGTACAATTCTAAGGTACTAACTTTAACTATTTTGTAATAATATATTTGTCTCTTCTTCTATTATAATGCTTCATTTAATTACTACTCCGTATTATACTGAGGTTATAACTTATAATAATAATCGCCTAGATTTTTTTTGTTTAAATTATCGCCCCCCCCAATATCAATTTCCTGGGTCCGCCCCTGTTTATAGGACTTTCAATGAAGTCCAGGAATATGTAATTTTTAACTATTAGAATTGATTTAATTATTTGCATGGATGATTTAACTTTATGGTGATCAAGTTTGCAAATTGCAATTCAATGGGGACAGAGGAACTAATGAAGTATTAGTTTTCCACCAGACTTTTGTCTTTCAACCCTATATTATAAGATACATTATAATTTTTGAATATTTTAAAAAGTATGAATGTCTTCCTTAATAAGTTCCACTAAGTTTTTATTTTCTCAGCTCTTACTTTCACGTTACGACATTTAATTAATTCATAACATCTTTATTGGCTGGAAAATGCTTCAAATCATATTATAAACTATGCTTCAAACCATATTAAATTGGTTAAATAGGTTGAATCTATTGACAATAATGAAATTCTGAATGAAGCGACTGAATTGTTTACTGAATTGTTTGAATCTACCGAAATATGAAAAAAGTTATTTTTAGTATATATTTTGTTAATTAATAAAATAAAGAAAAACATTATTTTAAAATAGCTAAAATGCTAAAATGATTTTCTACAATAATTTCATCCAATTTAACTAGCATGGTAATTTCAACCTTACTTATTTTGATTATTTCAAAATTTAACGTGGAAATTAAGGATAATTAATGTGTCTGGAAAAAAAGTTGGCTAATAAATTGAAAATAACAAGGGAAAGTTCTCGAAATAAAAGTAAAAAAGTTTGAAAATTTCAAAATAGAACTGTCATGTTTTTATTCCCAAAATAGAAGTAATTACTGCCAAGTATGGAAAATAATGTCATGTTAAAAGAGTAGTACCACCAAAACATGACAATAATAAATCCCATTACTGGAATAAAAACATGATATTCCTATTTTCGAATATATAAACAAGTAAATGTAGTAAAAAAGTAAATATAAATGAGATTGAATTTTGTGCTGTAAAACTCAGATCTTAACTAATTTGCAACAATAGCAAACACTTGTGTTTATCATAAAGAATGTTTAAAATGAATTTCAGTTTTTTTAAACGCATACTCCTCCATATTGTCACTTTTGTAAGCCACATTTGTATACAGGGATACACTACCTAACTTTACAGTTCATTACTGCACCTCAGCAGTAGTCATCTTCAGTTCTTCACCAACAGTTTTGATCAAATGTGAGACTTGCAGAATGCATAAATACCCCTGGCCCCGGGAATCTACAGGATCTAGAGGTTTTTCGGGCATCAATGGTGCTTTGGATCAACTCGGGCTCGGCGCTCAAGAATCTGGGCCCACTCATCAAATCGCTGGGATCAGTCTGACACATTGTTGTATCGCAAAAGACTCGAATCCTTATGACTACAGCCGAATCTTAAATAATAAAACAAAATATTTGAGGTCAAAATTTTTTACAAAACAGACGACATCCACTCATTCATTCAGCACCATCAGAATGGCTTGTTATTGCGCTTTCAATGACTCAGCGCCATCAGAATGGCTTCCTGTTGAGATTTTGTTAAGCTCTGTAATGAAGAAAAAATGCAAAGATTAGTAATGTAAAAAGTGATTTGATCCTTCTTCAACGTCTTGTTTTTTGGAGAAAAGGATGAGAACTTAGAAAACACCTTTAAAACAAGGGGAAGGTGTGCCCCACAACTACTAGAAAACTTTTGAAGAAATTCCGTGAGATAATTCACCAGATTTATCTACGAAGGGAAGAAAGGGTTAGCAGATAAGGTTACCAATATGCGCTCAACAGCATTGATTCACCTTCACTTAAAATGGGTAATATACCTCGTAGAGGGGGTCACCACTACAATGAAGATCATCATATCCATCACCTTGATCCTATTAAGTCAAAAATGTTGAAATTTGTAAACAACCCAATATATGCTGTTGATCTAAAAGCGTATAAGCAAAGTTTTGGGCGGGGTCAATTCAGAAAAATAATACTGAAACCTTTGTTCAGTTTAAACGAGAAATGCGAGAAATGATTTAGGCAGAAAAGAAATACTCCGTGAGAGAGATGGATAATTTTCCTTTGTTTGGTGTTGAGAGGAATGAAAATGACGGGGCACCTCTCTTCAATTTCTCCTCTCATGGAGAGAAAAACTGGAGAGGTGAATTTCCTCCCGTGTTTGGAATGAAAGAAAATATGAAGAGAAGAAAATATGAGTCAAACGATGGAATTATTTCTATTTTACTCTGTTTAGATTTGAGTTTAAAATAGGCGGAGCAAGGAAAATAAGTTTTATTTTCTTTTCAACCGAATATCTCCATCTTCGAGAGACAATAAGTTGAGATCGATAACAAAAGTGTACTATTTTTTTAGATTTACCCTTTTACCCTCCAATTTATTCATTCATAAGATTGTTTTAGTTTAAAAAAAAAGTAAAACAATCTTATGAATGAATAAATTGGAGGGTAAAAGGGTAAATCTCAAAAAGCAATGGAGCCAAAGATTCATTATTTTTTGGCTTGAGAATATGATGGAATAAAGCAAAACGGCTCACTAAACTGTCTGTGCTTCTTTCTTATGAAGTAGCAATCAGTCCATGCAATTTTGGACGCAATTTTCACTATGGGTCATCCGAAAACAGTCTCTCTATGCTTTAGTACAGGGGTAAGACTGCGTACATCCGACCCCCCCTTACCCCCCACCGTAGGTGGGATCTTTGCGGCACTGGGGTAAATGAAAATGATGATGAAAAATGATAAGATTGTTTTAGTTTGGGAATCAGTATATGAAGGTTAAAAAGGTAAATTTTTACTTTCTTCCCTTTCTCTTTTGGGTAACCCAAACTAAAGAAACTCTACTTCATATTTTCTCTGCACTCTTCATATTTTACATGCAAGAGATTTAAAAAATGGGGAAAATCAAATGCCCAAACACAGTGCAAATGGCCTAATGGGGGGTCTAACATCTGTGCAGGAACTTTTGTGTTTTAAAATTTAAAAACAAAAATACACAACGATAACGAAGGATAAATGCGGTTAAACCTCATTAAAAGCCTTTGCCATTGCATCGAGATACTGATAATTGGGTCTACTATTGGATGCAGGACCAGCTGAAATCAATACAGCTTCATCTCTCCCAATATCTCCACCTTCAGCTTCTTCCCAGTCATCATCCTGTTGAATAGTTTTGCATTTATAATTCCACCTATTGTAAGCTTCAATATCAGAAGTACTGAAAGGACTTGAAACAGTTACCTCATCACCATCTACTGAAGCTTGTTCTCGGATTTCAACCAAGGAATCTGCCAATATGGCCAGAATCTAATTTTACCAAGAAGATACATTTTTGTTAGACCAATGAATTCAACAGTTTAGGAAAAACAGGAATTGAAAATTGAGGGGGTAATTCTAGAAGAATTGAGTTGACAAAGGTGCTAAACAAAAGAATCAAGAGCGTTGGGTATCATTTAATGGATTCATTCAATGTCTAGCGGACCATGAGAGAGTACCTTCATAGGAAGAGGCATTACTGTCCATTGATCTGGAGCTGTTTTAGCCTTTGAACGTGTAGTAATCCCAGCCGAGGACTTCAAAAACAAAAACGAAAAAAAACTTGGATTCTGACCATCTGGAGTAACTAATCATCATCATCATTAGCCTAGTGCCGCAAAGGCTCCCACCTACGGTGGGGTAAGGGGGGTTGGATGTATACATCCGTACCCCTGTACTAAATCACAAAGACACCGCTTCCGGATGACCCATAGTGAAAATTGCATCGAAAAATTGCATAGACTGACTGGTGCTTCATTACAAAGAAGCGCAGGCAGTTTAGTGAGTCTTTGACTTCATTGCAAATGATGGGAAAATCTAGAGTAACTAATATGCTAAAGAAAATATAAATGAACCTTAATAAGATTTCCTTGAACGTCGATTTTTTCCAGCTCTACATGCCTGGTAGATAACAACAATGCCAAAGCACTTGTCGTTACTTTGATTTGGTAGGCTCCTTGAATTTCCCCTGAACAGCATAAAGTTCATGAATTTCAAGAACAGGAGAACAGGTGACCAATAATTTGGCGACTTTGCAAATATTGACTCAAGAACCCTATGATAATACCGAGGTTAAATAAGTTAACTCTATGGAATAGAAAGTTCGGTTCACCAAATGCTTATCAAAGATGTATGCAATACAGGGACATGTTTCTTCAGCAAACATGTAATAAGTTAGTATCAGTTTGCTTAACAAAGTGTGGTTAATACTATTTCTCTACCTTTCACATCAATCACAACCATACAAGTTCACTTTCTTAACAAGTATGCCAAGTCAAACTGGGAAGAAACTTTTGGAAATTGGAATTGAGGGAGTAAAAAGAGAGAAATGTGAGAAACACCATCTTGAAAAAGGTGCAAACATCTCATATAAAATTAGGATATATTTTAGAACCAGATATAGCACTCCTACCTTCTTGACATTGCAAAAGAGTACAATTATATTGAAAACATGTCTTAAATTAGCACCTACAGCTTAATGATCTAAAATAATGCATGTTTGGCCCATTCATTATTGAAAGCTGCAAATTGGGGATTCTTGAAACGAGGCTTTTCACCTGTTTTTACAATCATTGAGGAGTCGGTGTTTTACCTGACTACTTTTATGGAGTTAAAAAACAGGAGCAAACAAGCACATAAAAGACTTGTGCAAAACCAATTCATTGGGTGATCAATGTACGACAACTATTGGTTTCACTCAATTGCAGCCAACCTAAATGAAAGCTATAGATTATTAAAAAAAACACTGGCCAGGCCAGCTAATTCTGCCCAAAGACAGTTCATTAATTAAGCCAATTAAACACAGTAAGTTAAATCACCGGTTGCAATATACTTGCCTTGCATTCTAGTCCATTCAAACATCAAATAAGCAAAGGCATTTTTGTGACCTTCAGCTGGTAGTGACAGCAATAAGTTAATGAATTGTTCAACATGTGGAACACTCATATGGACCTGTATTAGAAATAATGCATTTAGCTTTCTGTATAGATTAGTCATTCTAGAAGGTAGAGAAAAGCTTAAAGGCTTAAGAGAGTTTAATGAATAGGCATTAAAAAGTAAAAACACAGTGCAAAAAAAACCTATTTTTGTGCTCATCAATTCGTATGCATGTCCTGATGTTTGCAAATTTTTTATAAGGACTTGATTAGGTTTATTTGATATCTTTTTCATCCCAGATACTTAACAGCATAATAAGCCTGCATTGGAGGATTAATTAAACTCTCACTGCAGAGGGTGTTTAGAATAACTTGAAGGTGTCATTAAAGGAACTGTGAAATATAAGATTGTATTCATTATACTTCATATGAAATCCTATACAAGAAGCTATATTTATAGCTATATTTAGAGTACTAGGGTTTCTTATACAAGATATACAACTGGGCTAAGCCCAATACTACTAGGGTTTCCACACTCCCCCTCAAGCTGGAGCATATAAATCATATGTACCAAGCTTGTTACAAATATATTCCACTCTAGGACCTCTAAGAGACTTAGTTAAAATATCTGCAAGTTGTTCAGTTGTGTTCACATATTTTGTGATGATATGTCCACTCGTGATCTTCTCTCGGATAAAATGACAATCAACTTCAATATGTTTTGTCCTCTCATGATATACCGGATTTGATGCGATGTGCATTGCAGCTTGATTATCACACATGAGTTGAACCGGTTTTGCGTTTCCATATTTTAACTCTTGGAGGAGATGCTTCAACCATAAGATTTCACATGTAGCAAGAGCCATTGCACGATATTCTGCTTCAGCACTAGATCTGGCAACCACATCCTGTTTCTTACTTTTCCATGAAATTAAGTTTCCATCAATCAAGATGCAATATCCCGAAGTGGAACGTCTATCCATCGGACATCCGGCCCAGTCTGCATCACAGTATCCCACAATATCATGGTGGCCTCGATCTTCAAACAACAATCCTTGCCCTGGAGTTTTCTTGATGTATCTCAAAACTCGGATAGCTGCATCCCAGTGTCCAGTACATGGCTTATCAAGAAACTGACTAAGAACACTTACCGCAAATGAAATATCTGGTCTTGTGATGGTAAGATAATTCAATTTGCCGATGAGTCTTCTATATTTTTCCTTGTTAGGCAAAAGATCTCCCTGTTCTGATAAGAGTTTAACGTTTGGATCCATTGGTGTATCCACTGGCCTGCAATCTAGCAAACCTGTTTCCTCCAGAATATCCAAGGCATACTTTCTTTGTGAGAGAGCAATTCCATCTTGAGATTGTGCGACCTCAATGCCAAGGAAGTATCTCAACTTTCCCAAGTCTTTTGTTTGAAATTTGCTAAACAGATGTTGCTTGAGGAGCACAATTCCTTGATCATCGCTACCTGTAATGACAATGTCATCAACATACACAACAAGATAAATACATTTGTTGCCAGCAGAATGTTTGTAGAATATAGAATGATCAACATCACTGCGAATCATGCCAAAGCTGCAGACAACGGCACTAAACCTCCCAAACCATGCACGTGGAGATTGCTTCAAGCCATATAATGAACGACGTAATCTGCACACCATACCAGACTCCCCCTGAGCAACAAATCCAGGTGGTTGCTCCATATAAACTTCCTCGTGCAGATCTCCGTGAAGGAATGCGTTTTTAATATCCAATTGGAACAATGGCCAGTGGCTCATTGCTGCCATGGATAAAACCAAACGAACTGATGCAATCTTCGCTACAGGAGAAAAAGTGTCAGTGTAATCCAAGCCATATATCTGAGTATACCCTTTCGCCACAAGGCGTGCTTTAAAACGATCAATCTCCCCATCAGGCCCCACTTTAACTGTGTAAATCCACCGACATCCCACCACTGATTTGCCAGCGGGAAGGGGGACTAAGTCCCATGTCCCACTAGAATGAAGAGCCTCCATCTCAGCCAACATGGCTTTACGCCACTCCGGGTGTGCCAGTGCCTCAGGTGTGGTTTTAGGAATGCATATATGAGACAGGTGGGAAATAAAGGCATAGTAAGGGGTAGAGAGGCGGTGATAACTCAAAAAATTATATATGGGATGTGGATTCAATGTGGAACGCGTACCTTTTCGGAGAGCAATGGGCAAATTATCCTGAGTAATGGACGTGGTAGGTGATGGTGGTGATGCAGGATCCGTCATAGGGGAATCAACGGGCGTGGCCACGATGGGCTCAATGAGAGGAGGTCGAGGACGTCGATGGTATACCTGTAATGGACGGTCTGACATAGGAGGGCAGTTTGGGTGCTCATCAGATGGGGGGTTAATGGAAGTCTCCTGATGGATGGGCCGAAGATATGAGGTGAAGTCCAAACATGATGAGGTATCAACTGAAGATAATGGATAATAAAAGGACGACTCAATGAAAGTGACATCGGCTGAAATAAAATGTTTCTTAAGTAATGGAGAATAACAACGATACCCCTTTTGGAGTCGCGAATATCCAAGAAAGATACATTTTATTGACCTAGCCGCCATTTTAGCTAATCCAGGTGTCGTATCATGGACAAAACACACGCACCCAAACACATGAGGTGGTAATGGAAATAAATCACGAGCAGGAAACAAAATAGAGTAAGGAATTTCATTATTAAGAACTGAGGAAGGCATTCTATTTATTAAATGACACGCAGTGAGCACAGCATCTGCCCAATACTGAGGTGGTGTATGGGAATGTAATAATAGGGTACGAGCAGTATCAACCAAGTGTCGGTTCTTGCGTTCAGCAACCCCATTTTGTTGAGGTGTGTGAACACAAGAAGATTGGTGAAGCATACCCCGTGATGTCATGAATTGATTAAAGGATGCCCCAAAAAATTCTTTAGCATTGTCACTGCGTAAAATTTTTATAGAATGACCAAACTGAGTTTGAATTTCAGCACAAAAAGTTTGAAAAATATGAAACAATTCAAAACGCTCTTTCATTAAAAACAACCATGTGTAACGGGAAAAATCATCCACAAAAATAACAAAATAACGGAAACCTAAAGTAGAAGTGACTCGATACGGACCCCATACATCTGTATGAACTAAATCAAACGGTGATGTAGCCCGTTTATTGACTCGCCTTGGAAAGGAGTTACGAGGTTGTTTTCCAAGGTGACATGACTCACAATCTAAAGATGAAAGATTTGAGAAACCTGGAACCATACGTTGAAACTTTGAGAGACTAGGATGACCCAGACGGTTATGTAAGGTAATAGCAGGTTCAATTGAAACACAAGCGACTGGATCAAGAGGATGGAGATGATACAGACCTTGAGATTCGTGTCCGACGCCAATTGTTTTCCCCGTACAACGGTCCTGCACAATCACAGAATCAGCAGAAAATGTTACAGAACAATTAAGAGCACGTGTAATTTTACTGACAGAGACGAGGTTAAAAGGGGTGTTTGGGACATATAAGACGGAGTCTAACGGTAAGGATGAAGATGGAAGTGCTTGCCCAATACCCGAAGCAGAAGTTTGAAGGCCATTAGCAAGAGTAATCAAAGGAAGATGTCGGTGCTTGGTAATATGGGATAAAAGATGGGGATTACCAGAAATATGGTCTGAGGCACCTGAGTCAATGATCCATGAGCCTGTTGTGTTTGAAACACAAGCTGTAGACATCCCGGGTGTGGGTAAAGGCATATTAGTCAACTTAAATTGCTGATATGCTGCATATTCTTCCGGTGATAGAACAATGGGAGATGGTGGTAGCTGAGCAACATGGGCTGAGGGAGGAAGTCTCCCATGTAATTTCCAACACCTGTCTTGAGTATGACCAATTTTATGACAGAAATCACATTTAGGACGATTCCATCTTGAGTATCCGGTGTTGTTTCCTCTATCAGAACGCATAAGAGACATATTTTTTTTTATGCTGATTTGATTTTTTTTTTTTTTTTTTTTGTCTTTCTTTCTTTTTTTTTTTAATCAAAAGAAAATGAGTAACTTAAAAGTGAATTTGGTGCTTTGTAAATAATAAGGCAGAGAGAGCACCAGGATGCCAGACTTGGCAGTAGCAGCAGACAAGAGCAGCCAGCCTTGGACTCTGGCAGTAGCAGCGGACAAGGGCAGCCAGCCTTGGACTCTGGCAGTAGCAGCGGATGAGAACAGGAGTTCACGACACAAACCTGACTTCAGCGAAAAGGGTAGAGCAGCGGCGGGCAGGCGGAGCGACGGCGACGGCGCGTGGGTTCGGCGGCGGCGCGTGGGTTCAACGGCGGCGCGTGGGTGTCCGATGAGTGCCTGTGTTATGCTGTTGTGGTCGCCAGAAGCTCCAGGTCTTCAGTGTGTTGGCTGTGAGTGCTCCGAATAAGTAGAACGGAGTAGATCTGCAAATATGTTATTCAGCTGCAGTACGGAGCGGTGGCGCGTGAGGGCCGTCGTGTCGGTACTGTTCCGGGTGGTTGGTCGCGATGGTATGCTGAGCAAGGCAGTAGGTGTAGATCAGAGATTCACTACCGGAAGTGTGCTCCAACACCACTCACAACTACTGTTCACGCCTGAAATGCTTGCCGGAAGCCAGCGCCCTAACTATTGCCATATAGGCTCTGATACCATGTGAAATATAAGATTGTATTCATTATACTTCATATGAAATCCTATACAAGAAGCTATATTTATAGCTATATTTAGAGTACTAGGGTTTCTTATACAAGATATACAACTAGGCTAAGCCCAATACTACTAGGGTTTCCACAGGAACAATCAAGTGAAAATACTTAATTAAAAACAATGTCATGATTTCAATGTACTTTGAATTTGTGATAATTGTAAGCATTATAAATAGGTCAACAAGATTAGATGTACTCATGGACTAGAAATGTATACAGCCCATATAGAATATAAAACGGCAAGCACACTACTGCACCTAAATAGATGAGAAAGAATACCAGTCTGGCAAAAATAAGCAACAATGAACTTTTGAGCGCAGAAATTTCACAATATTGCATGCGCCTTATAAGTGCAGCAACCAAGTCTCTGATATGTTGTGCCATTTGTGAAGGGAGGTGCAAAATAAGTTGCAAGATGTAGCTCCCAACAAAAAGTGAGACTGAACTTTCTAGATCAGGATTCAGAAGCCTGCACCATAGATACCGATTTCTGATGTTTTAAAAAATCCCAAAACACATATCACTGGTAAAGATTGGACACAGAAACACTCCAACTCCGCACACACCACAATCAACTTGTAAAAAGACAGCTACAGGCTGCAAAGGCCATCGCATGGCAAAATAGTTGTTGCAAACAAAAAAACTCGACTCAAACTCTCTTGTTTTAATGATGCTAAAACATACTAGTCATTGGCCAGGTTGAATAGTCAGGAACATAACAAATGTTCATGGCATGAACTTCATGCTATACAGTGATGCAAAAATCACACATTATAACCCATCTATTGACATACATCATCTCGTCCTCTATGATTATTTCTCTCATTCAATAATTAACACATACTTCCTCCGTTCTTAAATAAATGCAACGGTCAACATTTCACACTTGCCGAAACACAACTTTGACCATTAATATATATAAATTTATATTAGTAAAAAAATTAAAAAAATTAGATATTGGAAATTTACAATGAGACAAATTTAATAATATTTTTTTCATAAAAATATATTCACACATTAATAAATAAAAAGTAGTCAAAGTAGAACATGTGAATAGTGTAAAATTTCATATATTGCATTTATTTAAGAACGGAGGTAGTATATCTTCAGCATTGCTGGCGGGTGTTGGCCTTTTGTCACCAGACAGACTTTGAACCTCATGATTCTGAACAATAATAAAACCGATTATATGTCCATGTCTTTACCAAACATATGAAATGAGAAATTTAATTACTAATACTTCAAAGTTCGACCATACTGCGTGAATAATGACTAAGGCTATGTTTGGCACAACGAGCTGAAACTGGAGGCTTATGTCTGAATTAGGGGCTATTGTCTAAACTAGAGACTATTGCCTGGAGCTAAATTTCGAAGTGCTGAATCTGAACTGCTAGCTGAATGAAGTAGATCTGAAAAGTGCTGAAAAGTGCCCAGATAATATGAAAATACATTAAAGGACATTTGAATAAATAAAAGAATAATACAATATAATAATTTTATATTTATTAAATATGAAATAAAGAATAATATTTTTGTTGCACTATTTTTGTCATACAAATTCCTATGAGACTCTGCCTCTAGAGAATTATGAGACTTTTTAGAGACACTTTTAAAATAATACGTAGTTTAAGGAACAATATTATAGAAATATGATTTACCAACTATTGAATTAAATTATTAAAACTAAGTATGGTGATGACATGATGATTGAATTCCATTATATACAGTAGAATTGGGAGGATGGAAGTATAATAGCCTTCAGTGACTGGGGAAGAAATTGGATTACGTGAGTGCCTAGAGGGATACCATGGGAACAGAAAGTCTACAAATATAAGACTGAATATAAACGCTTGTGGTCTAAACGTGTCATTTCAGTCTATTATTTTCAGCTTAAGCCACTTTCAGCCCATCAACCAAACAGGACGATTTTAATCACAATTGACTTGATTGAAAGGATTTCAGCTCTTTATTAGCTGAAGGAACGTGGCGAACATTACGTAAATCCAGAATACTAAGGCTGTCAATCTGTCACTGCCAACAATCAGAAGAGCTCTCCCAGAGAAACGAAATAAACAGCCCACATACATTCATATACCCCAGTTCTATATTACAAACCTGGCTCTGCACATCAGGCCATCAGGGCATCGATGGTTAAAGAGTACGAATTCCAAATGTGCATGGAAAACGTGTTTGGTAAGCCTAGCTGTTTTTGCTAACTTGGTACTCATTATTTTTATTCCTTTATTACCGAGTATTTTGTACTTATTTTCTACTAAAATAAAAGGCACAGAATAAGAAGGCCCATAGACAATGAGATTCCATTAGGCAGCTTCCGCAAACTAATAAGCATGGATTTATCCAATTCTATTGGATACTTTCCTTGGTAATATTCTACATTGATATAGCTAGGAATATACACAGGAAATAAATAACTTCATACTTTAGTGTTAGTGTTATCAGTGTGGGCACACTTTAATGTGCCCACATCACCAATTGTGATAATAAATCCATGTACTCGCATGGATCCTACATTAGTTTAATTCCACATTTGGTAAAGTGAGTCCATTAAGTATCCTACCATAGGTTCCTTAGAAACTTTTAATCGTATACTGGCAGCAGCTCCCTCACTCAAGGCTGGTCATTCTTGCACAACACAAGGATATTTAAATTTGTACAACCATGCGGTCCATGCTTGATGTTGGCAGATTGGCATGATAAGGCGTTTTCACACATAGAGAACTGTAAGCCCCAACGCGTGAGGCATAATTGCTAGAAATTCACAGTTTAGTCATTGTTGATCTTTTTATCAGGAAGGGCAAGTGATGGTAAACAATCTTCAAGGAGTTCCATGATGGAACAGTATGGTTAAAAGAATGAGATCATAGAAAGAGTAATACACCTTGAGGTTACATCAAGCAAGCAATTCATTGTAAATCCAGGATCTCCACCCCATCCAAGTAATTCCTGCTTTCCACCGTAGACAAGAGCTGACAGACACTGTGTTGCGTTCTAATTTACAAAAGCAGCAACACACTATTTTCAAAATCTTAAAGAAACAAAACACCCTAGAGCTACATTCTGTATGGAATACAGTGCACAGATTATTGTTCCCATTTCCTATCAGTCCAAAATAGAAAAAGTTCTACACTTCTAGAGCAGGAAAAGGAATACGCTCACCCTGCCTGGTTATTTTCTTTTCTATAGTTCTATGCTAGATAGAAATGAAAGTGTGATAAGGTGTAGAGTGTAGATAATCATTAGATATCAAAAAAAGGAACAAAAGGCAGAAAAGGAAATTGTAAAAGTCATTACATATTAAAAGAAAATGCAAGATACATTTGATTTTGGTAATGAGTTTTAAGAAAATAAAGGAAAATGTTGTTATTTTACAATTGTAACATTCTAAATGGAAGAAATAGCATATGGGTCCAAACAAAGTAAAACGTGAGATGATAGATAAAGGGTAAAGTGGAAAGTATAAATCTCGTGGGGTTCAAATTAGGAAAAAGTCCAAACTTTTGGGACATGAGCCTTGATGATGGATGGACGGTCGGTCCTCTCTTATTTCTGATTCCATTATGTATTCTTTTGAATCCTTCCATTGATCTTAAATGTATTCTTGATACTAATGTTTGGAATAAAGCTTGTTTGAGTTGTTTGATCTTACCCTTTGATTGACTAGTTAAGAGCCAAGTACAGTGATTTTAAATTTTTGTCCTATGCTTTTAAAAGGTATTTTATTCTGAATTATAAATATTAAAAATTAATCATAACTTTGCCTGGTTTTCAGGATTTTGCTTTCATTGTAATAAAAAACAGAAAATATCAACAAAAGGCAATGTGTACAACGCCTAAATGAGTAAATTACTCAGAAGTTCATACTTTTGAGAAAATGAAATATTATACTCCCTCTGTGTCATATTAATCTTCCAGATAGATTTTGCACATATATTAAGAAAGTGGGAATTGTGTGGTTGAGAGTTGTGCAGAGGAGAGAAATGATATGAACCACAAATTCTTTTTCATAAAAGGAAATTGAAGATTATTTTGGGGCGGACCAAAATAGAAAGAATGAAGATGATTATGGGACAGAGGGAGTAATTTTTTACAGTGCAATGTTTTAATTATTACTCCGTATTATTTAGTTACTACCTCCGTCCCCCTATTTTTGGGTCGAAATAGAGTGGTGTGATTTATAAGAAAAATAGAGATATGTGGTTGATAATGAATTGATAAAGTGAGAATAAAGTAAGCATGAATTAGAGTTACACAAATATTACCAAATATGATATGGGACAAATTTAGTGGGCCGGACGAAAAAGGAAAAAAGAGACAATTATAGTGGGACGGAGGGAGTGTTATTTTTCTTATGTTATTAGTATGCATGATTGCATGGTCAATTTGCTAACTACCATTTGATGTTTTCTAACCATTCCAAAGCAAACCAAACAATGAAAATCCAGTAATTTCATCCTCAACAACCAAACAAAAAAAAATCAACTACCACTTCAGTTCCTATACATTCCCTTCCATGCACTGGCATAGACCCGTAGGTAGGGGGCATGCTGTTCCTGGGTCTACACAAGTCCGGTAAAAACGTTTTACTTCAAACAACAACATCCAAGCTTTAACCTCAAAAGAGTTTGGGGTCGGCTTACATGAATGGACATATGACATCGGAGTTAAAAACAAATAACTTCATGTGATATACTTAACGTTTTACTTTTACTTCATGCGTAAAAAACAATTATGAATTAAATGTTTTGTCCAGCCCGCCCCAACATATTTTCCTTGTTTCCATGGAACACAAGTTCCATTCCTCATTAGTTCCTTTCCCCAAACCAGACAGTTTCAGAAAGGTGGAAGAGAACCTGCATCTCACTGTGGTCATCACTTTGGAGGATTATCCTGATAACAGGATCAAAAGAAACTTCAAAAATAGCTTTGATGACATCAATTGGTGCATCCTGAAATTTTAAATAATCATTAGCATTATGAGGTAAAATATAAATTCAACCCAAAATTTGAAGTAACACTAATGCCACTATAACATTGCACATCACACCTTCAACAACATTGTCAGAAGATCTAGTGAACCAGCTACTAAACCTTCAGGCTGCTGTTGTGGCTAAATGAGTGCCGAAGTTTTAAAGAAAATTCAAATTAGTGTTGATCTGCAAATCACACATAAGGAAATTCTCAAAAGATTTTGCATCATACTTTAGTCAGCACTTGCCCAACATACGGTAAAATTCGGGAAACCAAAGGCTGGATGCAACCAGGAGCTGTTTTTATTGCCTAGAATAAGGATAGCAGAGTATTAGAACTGAAGTCAGAATAGTAAACAGTACTCATAGATGACTGATAGAAAAAGTCAAATAAAGCATACTAGTACCCAACCAGTAACGTTAAGAACTTCAATGGCAAACGGGCAAAAAAAGAGAGGGAGAATAAAGAGAAAGGGAGCTAATATAGTATCTGGGCATCACCATAATTCAATTTCAAGATTTCATTTAGAGATAATTAATTGTGTACCTCCATTTAGACCCACATTCTACATTCAGTCTTAGGATCTTTTTTACTGAAAATGTACATCTACACATGAACTCAATACTCCCTTGATATATACGGAGTTATAACTGCCAAGACAGCCAAGTAAATACGAAATGGCAATGAAGTCATTTTACTATATCTTATTGGATTTCTATGGGTGGTAATTTATGTGTTTTAAGGGAGTCATTGTTAACAGTAGTGGATTTCATCCATAAAGATTATAGAGTGCTACCTCTAAAACTTCTAGAGCATCAATGCTGGCAAAAGGGTCTGTGACATGTGAAGCCCACACATTAAGAATGATAGGAGAAAGAATGGACTCCACTGATGGCAATAGTTCCGGACCTACAATTAATAGATCACAAAATAAATTTACAAAATATAATAACATTACAGCTAGGCATAAGTCATCTTAAATTTTGTGGATGAGCTATAACCTGCCCTGACAGCAGCCTGTAGTGTCTCAAGCACCAGATGCATAGTTTCGTCAGATGTCTAGGAAGGCAGTATGCAATTTGAGAAGGTTAGATTCACTTGATTCCAATAAGAAGAACAAGAAATAAAAACAACTACAAAAGAACAATGAATTCCAATCATAACTCCATACATGCTCAAGTAGGTTGGTGAGTGATGAAATTAAGTCCTTGATATGTGGCCAAATGACTCCAGAGTCTGCATCAGTTAAAAGCTGTGAAAGTGCTCGACAAGCACCTGCTTTTACAGGAGGAGGCCTGCACACATTAATGATCAAATTATTAACATTCAGAATGCTGTATTTTTTTAACCAGTAATGTCCATAATACATTAAGCTCTTAGTTTCCTACACATCCATGCCAACTGCCTTAACAGCCGCATACACAAACTGCTCATTAATTCCACGGCTGATCTGAAGAGCATAAACACAAAGATTAAGCACAAATCCATATCATGGCTTTAGTGTCAGAAAGATTCAAGCATTACCACAGAGGAAAACTTAGCAACGGATGAAAACATACGAGCATAAAGAAAAGGATATTCATCAACCCCTGGAAACAAAAAATGAAAAAGAAACATATGAAAATAGAATATGTTATATTGGTACGAATGTACGATATGGTAGCACCAGTTAAGGTAATTAAGTAGGAGATAACGAAACTATCTGCATAATACTCCTCCCTATGAAACTATCATCAAGCCAGTTCTGTAATTTCTAGATTACAACATCAAAAGAAATACAAATTAATATACAAAAAGAAGACTTACCTGTTGCAATGTCTTCTATAAGAATTTTCTCCAAGATATTCCCTACTGTAGCACCACATTTTTCCGAAACCTGTGAACAAGTCAACAAAGTATAAGATGTAAAAAAGAATACTTGCATATTAAGAGAACAAAAGGGTCGAGAAAGTGAGCATTGAGCAAGATTCCTAATCGTGGAGAAGGATGACAGCAACAGTATATTATTTCATTTTCTTGTATATGCTTTTAGTTTCTTTTCGTCCAGAGCTTAGATTCAACAAATAGAGATGAGAAATAGTACAATAAATAATATACTGCCCAATAAAAAAAAGGTATTTGTTTCCCTGTTCTTTTACAGGGTAAAGATTACATATGGCACTAACCTCTGTTTCAAGTAGCTGCTCTGACACTGAAGCCAATGCAAAAAGGGTAGCCTCACGTATCTGCAACATAAAAACAAAAAAGTTGCAAAAAATTAGTTATTGGCTAGTTCTTCACCTAAAAATCAGATAAGTATGAGTAAAAATTAAGATTCATTTGGGCTGACATGCCAGCATCATTCAACTTACTCTCCACCAACCCGGGGATCCAGCAGTCTTCTCTTGCTGTGATTCATTAAATCTTTTTTCTGCAGATTCAATTATAGCATTTATTCCCTCTGGGCCACAAGAGTTTATCACCTCTTCCAGTAACAATGCACCTGAAATCAATGTCTGGATTAAGGAAAATGTGCAAAAGAAAACAATATATAATGCACAAATTGTGACCAGTTGTCATGTTAGTATTTTGTGAGTTTATAATTTTTGAACAGTGAAACACTTACAAAGGTTAAAACACTTGATGTATAATTTTTATGTGCATGACATCTAAGACATAATGACATGCTAATTTTTTGCGGAATAACAAACTTGTAATGATAATTTTTTGTTACTGCGCGTATCACATTACCACGAAGGCACAAATGAAATTGTAATTGTATTTCAACATTAAAGCAAATTATAGACACCTATTTTTACTTCTCACGCCTAACAAATCATTGACCTCCCAAAAACAACTTACCAGAAGCTCGACAACTATAAGTATTATCCTCCTCATCAGCAAGGAATTGATTGGCATCCATCAACCATGTGTGGGCCTAGAGTAAAACAATGTTAAATGCAGAAGGAAAATAGAAAATAAAAAAGTTACTACAGAACCGCAAATATTGAATTAGTATGACTTGCTATTTAGGAGTATGAAAAAAGCTAGAGAATAGAGTTCAACTACTGAAAGCATGAACACAGAGTCACAGACGTAAGCATTAACGGTGTTGGACTACGGTAAATCGGTGAAATGGATTATGTGGTTATCTGCTGTTCGCGGGCTAAATTACTCTTTGGAACAAAGCACTTCCTCTGTTTCATATTGAGTGTTGTTTAAAGATCATGCACAGGATCAAGAAACTCATTAGTAGTTACTTTTATAACTAAGATGGTCAATAATAGCAAAGAGGGGAGTACTATTAAATGCGTTCTACATTTTATTGAACCAAGAAAGGAGTACATCCATTTAGAAACCTGTAACTGTAATCTCAACTTCACCTATACATACAAAACAGACCACTTCTGAACCTTTCCGATTGAAGACTTAAAGTATATGCAAAATATTAAAAAATAAAAGGAATAATGGACAAGAATAATCCCAATTATTAGTGACTTGCTTGAAATAATCCAAAGTATCAATTATCTCAAAATAATCCCAACTGTTGAAAAATCTTCTCAAAATACTCCACTTACTCATAAATATTATGAGTTATTTATGGATAATTATAAGTCACTGGATTATTTTGGGAAGATTTTTCAATAGTTGGGATTATTTTGAGATAATTGATACTTTAGATTATTTCAAGCAGATCACTAATAGTTGGGATTATTCTTGTCCATTTTTCCAAAATAAAACTACTTCAAACTCTAAATCAAAAAAAATACATTTAACAATATTAATAAATAGTCTCACGAAGGGATAGACTCAACCGAACAGTACAAGACATAACTCAACAACAATAAATGAGTAAATGCCCCACCACCACCAGCACTCTCACGCGCACAGAAAAGATCACATGAGAAACTAGTGCTAAATTTATAACGGAACAATAAAGCTTCTAGTCTAAGTAACAAAGCTAAATTTCTGCAACACGATATGTAACTTCTAATGAGTTTCATTTCCTATTTCTGCTTATCCCGTTTCTTTTGTGATAAACTTCCAATAATTATACTAAACTTCAAAAGCAAAACTTATAACTTGTAACACTGCTCAGCTGATCACCTGATCTGCTCCCTGTATGTATGTGTGTGTTGTGCGTGTGGAAACACTGTCCAAACACACGGTGGCAATGTGGCATTTGAAAGAACAATATTTGTATAAAAGCACTCCGTGTCTCCGTCAAAACCTAGAATAATGGGGCTACTGTGTGATTTGTTTGGAGGTGGTAGCTGAGATTTCCTTCCTCGCTGTCTTCGGTCCGGTGGTTTGTTTTGATCATCAGAAGATACTAAGTTATGTTTTCTTCCTAGTTTGTCTAGGACTCTGGTTGTTGGAGGCAGACGTCCTTGAAGGTGGGTGACCATGACAGCGTTTCTAAAGTCACTGGTGGAAGACTTGGTCACTAATCGCGGGATGATGAACAAAGAACATGTGGGGGCTGATAGGCAACCTCGCCTGTGCGTGTAGGTGGTCACTCGCCATCTGCCGTGGGGTGGCCATGACTGTGGGGGGGGATTTGTCTTGGTTATGGCATCTGGTTAGTAGCTGGTGAAACTGGTGTTAGGGTGTAAATCGTTGTGGACGCTTACCGGAGGCTGGTAGAATCGGTGGTGTTGAGTGTGTGGTTCAGGCTTCTGCTAGTCAAGTTCTTTCCTTCTCGGTGGATGGTTGAACCGGGACTACTGCATCCTAAAAAGGGAATTTGAAACCAAACCTTCCCAGTAGCACCGTAGCAGGCAAAACTGAATATTCCCATTAGAATATTTGCAACCTTGGGTGATTAGATGAGAAATCCAAATTTGGGTCTGTTGACCAGGTAAATGATCCACGTTTTGTGTAGAATCCATGTAGTTGGTGGTGCCAAAATGATAATATTGACCCCAAGGGATGGGAGAATTCACCTAAAGCAGCCAGCGAACTGAAAAGCAAAAATCCTGGGAAAGGAGGGAGAAGAGAGGCGGGCCCTCTGCACAGCAACTGAGGCTGCTTATTCCTTGGTTCCACACCTTATTCTACAATTGTTTCATTCAATTATTTTGGGGAAAATCCCGAAGTAGGAGTAAAAACGTTTTGGAATCCCGAAATAGGAGTACTATGTTTTATTCCCTAATAGGAGTAGTTACGGTCAAGCTTGGAAAATACTGCCACGTTTAAAGTCTAGTAATGCAAAACATGGCAATAATTACTCTTACTTAGGGAATAAAAACATAATAATCCTGTTTTGGAATTCAAGAGTGTTTTTACTCCAATTTAGAGCAATTTCTTAATTATATTTCTATTGTTTTTCAATTATTTATTGTTTTTTGGAAAAACATAAAAACTCTAAGTTCATTTTTTACATCAAAATGTGTGTTCTTTACTATTATAATTATTCGTAACAAAGTTTAGTCAAAAATAATTATTTAAAACAACAACATTAAGAATGTATTTATATATTGACGGTCATTGGGTTGCAGGGAAAAATTCAATTGATAGAGTGAATACGCTGTTTTTGTATTGATGGAGATGGATTGTGAGTAGCCTTATGTTTTTTGAATTAAAAGTGCTAGTAGAATTAGTTAAGTATTTCAGAGTTCACGTCTATTGGGGTTGTCTCTGCTTATATGTGTGATCTAGTTAGCCGATTATTTTGTTCTTCAAGATTGTACTCTTTATGATTTAATGAAGTAAGTTTGCCCCCTCCCCCAAACATGGTGGCATTTGTGTAAATAATATGAATTTTTCATATCACCATAATGAATGAAAGAAAGTAGATCATTTGCTTCATTCACCGTTCACAAGGAAGGTGTGATTCTCATCTGACTACACCCCTACATATGTGTGTTCGAATGTGGATAAAGTGAATTTGTTTGAAGACTAATGGCTCTAAAAGGCCCATAATGCTGAAGTGCTTATCAAAACAGTGGTAGTTTTGTACTCTATTAGATCAAACTTTTTAAGCCGCCACAAAAGGTGCATTATTTTATAAGATACAGAAAAATGCACCGGTGTTAACCAAAAGTGCATTGATTGCACCTTCGCACTTGGGCTTGACCCCTTCATGACGGACTTGTCCTTAGAAAGAGCATGTTGTATTTATACAGAAGTTGAGGTTAAGCTCTTGCACCCTAAGCCGAGGCATTTATAAGCCCTCAAGGAATTGACAAAATCCGGAGGAAAATTTAAGCCCTTGCACCACGGGGAGGAATCATCGTTTTAGATGCTCCCTTCATATTCTCTAAGAGTTAACCACTGAAAGAGTATGGCATAAGCCAAGTGGACAAACTACTTAATAGTTCGGCCCTTGAGGAGTGAATCATCGCATTTCTCCCTAACACTTGTGGTTCCTCAACATGAGGCTGGGGCCACTTAACAGCCTCAAAGGCGCAAACCTTGGAAACTGTCTCATCCTATGGATCCTTTTCCTAAATCACAACTCGTTCTAAACCAGGAGGCTGAGCCCATTAACTGGCACTAGAACATGAGTGAATCATCATAAAAGATGCTTCCTTTAAAAAAAATCAAAACTGGCTAAAAAGCCAAAAGACTGAGGCTATTGACACTCTCCCACAAATTTAAAAAAAAAAATCTCTATGGCTAATTTCCAAGCTGGGGAGTTAAAAACGGGTGTATATGCTGAGCATGACTCATCAAGTTCAACTCAGCACAGCTGAAGATGGTTAACTCTGGACTCGTTCTTAGATCAAGTCAGACAAGCATAAGGCAAACTATGTAGCCTCATACTCATCCTTAGAGCAAGTGAAATGAGCATAAGGCAAATTATGTAGTCATTCTCCCTGGAACTGTACTTATTGACAATTCTTCCATATGATAAAACATGTGTGTAGATACACCCACGAACACACACTGAACAGAACAATATAGTGAAATGCAAAGGCTGTTATTACCTGCTGCTCTGTTATCTGCAGAAAAGCAATGACACAGTACGCCAACTCCTCCAGGTTATGTACAATTACCTATAATACCAGAAATTTACTAATGCATACTGTGCACTTTATTATATAAAACATGGAAAACTACAGACCGTTCAGAACACACCTTTACAAACCTCTTGCTGCCCAAAATTGTCAACATGAACTCAAATAACTGTTTCAACAAAATATCAAATATGTGCAGAATATTAACTTCAAGTTAGAGAAAACACCATACAAGTTAGATACATGTAGAAGTTGGTAAAAGGTGCTGTCACCTGCCTGAACATAAAAAATTAAGAAGAGATGTAGGACATTGATTAAAATATTGTATGATCATTTAGGTTCTACCATTCTATGATTGCTATGTACTGTGAACGGTTTAATAATAAGGTAAATTATGCTAATACTCATGGACAAGGTTCTATCATCTCCTCCTGGAAGCTCTAGAGTCCAAACCAACACTCCAGTATAAAAAGAATCATGTACTCCCTCCGTCCCATTTTACCTGTCTTACTTTCCTTTTTGGGTTGTCCTAAAATAAGTGTCACATTTCCCTTTTTGAAAAGAAATATGTGGTCCACAACATTTCACTGTATTATACTCAAATCTCAACCACAACTTTTACTTTTCCAACCATTTTATTAATAATTGTGCCAAAGTCAAAGAAGACACATAAAATGGGACGGAGGTAGTATTCTACTATAGGTGGGGGAATTTGAAGAAACTTCTATTTTCTATGATTATATAGTAATCCTTTAAAAGGGAAATAAAATCTACACTTTCTGAAAACATTTTCTGTTTGCAGCTACGAAAAGGAGCACCGGAGTGCAGAAAGCTCTCTGGTGTGTTATTACCTGGATGACAAAGGATTCAAGACTTTGCTCTGCACCATCAGAATCATATCTTCCTTCATATGCATCATCCATGCCTTCAACTGATGCTTGTATATACACTCGCAAAGATGAAACAAATGTCTGCCACAGTGGCCCCATAATAACTGAAAAAGAAACATGATAAGATACAGTAGCAATTCGTCTAAAACTGAATACTATTGTGCCATTGAGTACTTACCCATAAACTGACCTTCCATGAGGCCAGGGAAGTTTTGGACAGACTGATTCAAGCACTTCAAAACCTGAAATTATTCAGGAAGAGACCGGAGTTAGATTACCAAAAAATGGAATAAGTAAACCTATGCATGATAATAAATCTAATGAGCACGATATCAGGTGAACAATTGGCCTTTGCACCCTGTCCCGTATCAAGTGGACTTGATTAATTCAAAGATCATGGAATTAAAAGCATAACCTCCATTCGGATGCTCCAATCATCAGGATCTTCAGATGGCACAGGCTGTTCTAGAATGGAAGAGAACTGATTGATCCAGGGTTGAAGCATGGGAGACAGCAAAGCAGTTGTCTCTGTCTAAAAGCATGTTTGGTGATTGTCATATAACAAGATAACAGCAGAATGTCACCAACTTTATAATGTCAGGGTATACCTTGTACACGCCACTCATTGTCCCCAACATGGAGATGCATGCATAAACTATAGAAAGGGCCTTCGTGCGCAGAGCTTTGTCATAAATCTGAAGTGCGACACACATTTAGAGGAAAGTGGAAAAGAGCATTAGATCATATAAAAGGTATTAGAGGTTCTATCATAAATGAAGAAACACCACAACTTCATAAGGACTGGGCAACTATTACTCCAAAAACTTTTCAGTCATTCAAGCATCAGTTGAAAAAGCAGTTTTAACAGGCCTCACTTGAATGAAATGGTGTTGCTTCTGATGGTTAGAAAGGCCATTGAGGCTTACTGCTCAAGTCCCTCATCGGGAATGAGGGATCAAAAAAGTTTATCGGGATATAGCGCCATGGATGAAAATTCGGGGTTACTTCCCCAGTAGGGTGGGGCTTAGACTTACGGAGTGGAACTAATAGGAGCTTACGCTCTGGGTCTAAAGCCTCTTGGCTTCAGGATTCAGGAATTTCAACCCACTATTGTCTGTTGACCTCTTACTTAACTATCCACCTGGTGTTCAAGTTTTCTCCACTCCAAGCAGCATAGCGACAGGTTTTCTCTTCAACATGAATGATTTCATGCCATGCTAGACTTTTTAGTTTTGGGTTTTTTATGTTTTCTGTATCGCTTTAAGCATGGTTTAATTACTACTACGGTATATTTTTTTATGAGTAATGATATAGTTACGCACATCAGTTCTCCTTCATGATATTCGAACTCAAATTTATGATAAAAAATATTGAATAAAACATATATTTGTGTGCCTTTCCAAAAAAAAATGTGTGGAATTTGAATGTCATTATATAAATTTCTAGAAATTCTTCTGTTCTATTCTATGTTTCTATTGGGGCTTGTGTCCGCCCAATTGTAGAAAAATTAGAAAAATAGCAATATAATAATTTGGGTATTCTGGTTTCCCTTCTCGTCTTTTAGACTTTAGAGCATAGAGAAGTCAAGCAAAAGATAACACTAGCCTGACCAGTGCTCCACACCACTTCTCACCAGGTTGTTTCTCATCTTCTATCTTTTTTAATTTGTTTCTGATGTTATATCAGTTTTTCCTATCAGAACTTTCATTCGACTTTTTGCCTCTAAATTGTTCCCAAAAAAATCCTTAATGTGTTTTTACTTTCTCATTCTTACACAATACTCAAGGAATAGAGTGAAAGTACACAAACACATCACCCATCTAAGTGTAGTGCTGAAAAAGACATAATTGAAACTCGAAAGACCCAGTAGGGAGTGGGTTTTGGTAGGACGTGAACAACAAAGATTTAATAGAATATTAGAATGTCACTATGCCATCAGCAAATGAATCCACAAGGATGCCCTAGCAAAGCAAGTTCTAGTGATAGTTTGAAGCAACACTTAGTTCATGGTTATGCAGATGGTGTTGTATGTCCTCAAACAACTACACAAATTTGTGAGGGTGGTGAGCGAATGCCTAACAAAGAATGCAGAATAAATTGATCAATATGAATGATGGTGATGATGATGTGATGTTGAAGAAATTTCAAATTGTCAATGACACAAAAAGTAAGAGAAAGACAAAGCTCCCACCATGATGGTGTCCTCTAAGGGCTCTACTTCTCATCCCAAGTTCCCGGACAACTAGCAAAAGAAAGTGTGTGGCTTCCAGATTCTTTGGCCCTCCATCGAAAGAACCAAGACAAAACAAGTTGATTGCTTCAATCATTCAAAGCCCATGAAGAGGTTCGTGAAGAAAGACAAAGCAAGGAGCCACTCAAGCTACCATTGAGCATTGAACAAAGCCCGAGGAGGAAAAGGAGAAGGGACATATGCACATCGCCATTTCTTTATGAAAATAACATACTGTGTAGCCTACTCAAGGAGTTACATGATTGTGATGGAGTCGATCACACAATCTAGACCCCGATCATGAGTTGTGTGTACCACTTTTTTGACAAAGGGAAAAATGAGACTAAGGATTTGAGAGACAAAAACATGAGATGGCTTGGAAGGAATAAATGACATACTTGTGTTGAATAGATTATCACATTCATGGAACTAGCAGTTGATTAGCTTCCTTGCCAGGTTGGAGCTAATTTAGGTTTTTTAACATTAGTTGCTTATAGGCCCTAGCAGTTTCATACTTTTCCATTTTTTTCTTTACCTTTTAATGTTTTTGAATTCTCCTCACCTGAGAAAAGGGGACAATAAAATTCATCTTCCTATAACATATTTTCCACACCTTCTACATTGTTACTCTTAGGATGTTTTTACTTGGACAGTTGGACTTAATTCAGTCCTAGACCAGAGCGATCAGCCCAGTTGTAAATTACACAGAGACCAGACATCTATCAGACCATACCAGATCAGACTAGAAAATTTCAATCTAGGTAAAAACATCCTTATTATCAAATTAAAACAAACACTTATGGTGACTACTAAATAAACTTCATTCCCAACTATAATCAAGTAAGCTTGAAAGAAGGAACTAAAAAGTAGAGATGAATTAACCTGTGGAGACGATACGATAGTGTGCAAGCATGGGAACAGGACAGGGACAAGTTGTGGAACCATCTTATCATCCAAATCCGCAGAGAGAAGAGCCAAGCACCTCAATGCTCCATGCACTGCATGGCATATTGACATCACAATTAAGATTTAATATTTGGATATTTTGAGAAGCAACATTGAAACTTGGCTACGTGTAAGAAACTGTTCACAAGCTCACTAACATCACCTACCAAGTAATACATTAAGAAAATCCAGAAAGAACATGTAATGTATTTCAATGTTAGCTAAAATGCATGAGCTGTTATAGGTACCTACCGGTATTTGTCTTAGTTTGATTCGTAACCGAGTTGATTAGTGTTGGCAAAAGATCAGGCCAATCCTCTGGCCAGTCATAATGTGCAATAGATGCTACAGCCATACTTATGGCAGTGCACATCTTTCTATGAGGGTCATCTAGCAATGAAAGGAGTAAATGACGAATAGATTCCTGAAAAAATTAAACTAAAGTATGAATAAAATACCTTGAGATAAAAAAAATGCACAATTTAACAGCATTTCTGAGAGGAAAAGAAACTGAATTCACTTCAGGTCGCCCAAAAATAAATGTTTCAAATAATAATGTAATCAACTGAACCTTCCATGACCACTTGGGATTCAGCTGCTCCTTTTACATACAATCTAAACATCATAAAATAACACCAAAATCCGCTTTTTGTTTCTTTCATCTTTCTTTCTTCCTTTTTACTTGTAATAGTTTATTAAGTGTCTTTTGGTGTAAAGTAAACAACAAAATTTAAACCTTAAGACTTGTTTAGATCCAAATTCAACTTGCGTCTTTCTCAATTAGAAGGTGATTCAGCTCAAATGACAACAACATTCAAAAGGAAACTAACTTGGAAACAAAAGCCACTAGTTAAAACTATGAAACACGAAGAAGCCAACATAATACAGAGTAGTTCATATTTCAGTCCTACCATATTCCAATGACTACAGCATCATGTTTATTTAGAATAGACATCAACAGAATGGTTTGAGGCAGAATAGTAAAGCTCTCATGTGCAGCAAGTTGCAAAGCAATTCTATGTGAGAAAATGGCATTCCATTATACTAAAAGACCTTCTGCAAGTTCCTAGTGGAGCTTCATCATTCACTTCAGTAGAATACATTTGGGTAATTATTTTGAAAATTATGTAAACAGCTTGAAGGAATGAAGGATAATAATAAAACCCAATGACTGCTGAAACAGACAGACAGAGATAATGGGTTTAAATTAATCAATTAAATATGAATAAGAGAAAGAAGACCTTTTCATCACTTGAAACAACTGGATGCTCAAAGTCCACTTCATCTTCCTGCCAGTGTTTCTTTATAAACTGCTTTAGAAGAACCGCAGCTAAGTAAAATTGTTAAATCTTACAAATGGAAATGAAATTGATAATGACAATAAATCACACTGATATGGCCTACTTCTTACATTATAAAATATTTTAACAGAATTCTATAAATTTCAAATAAAATAAGGAAAGGATATCTGGCGCAGTCCCAGAGGAAGTTCCCTACTTGCAGCAACTATGGATAATGCACCTCCATAACCTTCCATCAAAATTCAAAAAATGACATTTATACTTTATTCAAGATCACCGGATCACTCAAATTGTGCCAAGCTCTGAATCATGTAAAAAAAATGTATTTTTTCGGGTATAAACTTGTTCATTGCCTGCATTAATTCTGTCCTTACCTGGTTGAAGGGAAGCTTGTTGCAGGGAGGTTTCGGCAAAAGATCGGACCTGATGATTAGAATCAAGAATGGCATTCAAGCAGTTGATAAGCCATTGCAGATCTTGGTCCACTGTGGTGTTCATCGGAATTCAAAATGAGCAGTCTCCTAAATGAAGAGTGCAGGAGAGTTGGTAAAAAATGGAGGGAGACTGCTTTTTGTAATTCGCAGTGCACAGATTGTTAGGGTTTTTGTCAAAGCCTCAAAGGGTCACGCTTTTCCCGGGATCGGACATTTTTGTGCAGTGGTTCGGACATTTGTTAAACTAGATTTTCACCCGCGCGATGCGCGGGATACTAAAATTAAAATGTAATAGTGATACGACATTATTTTTAAATGTTATTTGGTCGTGTGAAATGTATGCAAATTATCATAAACGTGACATGCATAATAAGTTATAATTAAAGACCGGTTAGTGAAAACGTAGAGTTAGGTAGTACGTCTGTTTTGCAATAAGTAGAAAAAACTAAACGTTATATAGGGTTTCACAATCTACACTTTGCAAAAAAAAATTCTCATAAACTACATTATATTTGTGGTATGGTCAGTTGGCTGGCCATCTTCATCGCAGATCAATATCTTCAAACCCTTAAAATTTGTTATCCTTGACATTACAACATATAATTGACCACATGTGATGATTGACTTTTTCAATGTCATAATATGCTATGAAATATAATATAAAATTGGTTACCTATTACTTTTTCAAAAATATAAAAAAAATACTACCTCTGTTCTCTTTTAGTTGCAACATTGGACTTTTTGCACTATTCACATGTTCTACTTTGACTACATTTTATTAATTGATGTATAATAAATTAAATATTTAAAAAATATTGTTACATTCTTCTCATTCTAAAATTTCAAAATATGAATTTTTTAATTTTTTTACTAATAAGAAATAAAAGATATTAATGGTCAAACTTGTGCATTGACAAACGTGAAATGTTGACTGTTGCAATTAAAAAGGAACGGAGGAAGTATAAAATATCTTACGTATTAGTGTATTACATATAAAAACACTTGCACTTTGATATAAAATCCTCCGTATGACAAAGATAGATTTTCCCATACATTCAACACTATTTTAACAATATAATTCCAAATATCAGCCCAAAAGTCCAATTATCAAGCTAACCCAGTCCAACTACCCCATTTAATATAAATGCCCAACCAACCAACCAACCCTAAACATGACATATATAAACCGTGCATACCCCTGCGCCGCTTCATTCAACCTCCGTACACATGTAGAAAACCGCTAATAATCTGATGGCCTCTCATACATTCACTCGGATAAACTTCGTTTACCAGCTCTCATCGAAGATTAACCCCCAATCAACACTGCCTATGCTGAAATCGGGAAATCAGTGCTATACGGTGGCATATCAGTTCAGATGGTACAATAGATGAATAATCAGTTCCTTATTCGAACTTTGGAACTTCGATTGTGGGTGAAGAAGTTTCTACGGTGGCTGGCGTAATTCCTTAGCGGACCATTATAATTTGTCAAACCATGTCCTCACTACTCTCCCGATTTGGGTATATCCTATAACTCTCCTTCGTACACATTTAAAAATTATTATTTTCTCTTACTTTTGATTTTGTGTGCATATCATCAATTTCTATCACTTTTTAGATTGGTTTGTTGATGTTTTTCGTGTTTCAAAAATGGAGGTGGTTGTTTTCTTTCTTGCTTGTGCAATATGTTTTAACTTTTTAATTTGAGGCAAAAGGGTTTAGACAGTTTTGTAGATCTGCTCTGTAAGTTTAATTAACCGAGCATGTATAAAATTTGTCTTTTTGTTACATTAATCTTTGAGTATTAACAAAATTTTTGATTTTTTATGTTTGGATTAACAAAATTTCTTATTTTTTTAATCGAGTGGTTTGTTTATAAATCTGTCGTTTTTTGAAAATATAAAATAAATTGGTGATGGAATAGCAAATCCGTCGTCTGGAATTATCATTTTGATATATATAAGGCCAAATATCAATCTTACTCAAATAATACATGAAATGATTAAAATGATTTTTTAAAATTGATTTTTTTTTTGTTAAATTTTGGTCATTATGTAAGGCCTTTAATGTTTACTTTTACCTTCGTGTGTGTATTTCGAATGTTTAGACCTTAAAGTAAGTTTGCTGATCTGTTACACAAAATATTTTTGTTGTGAAACCCCGAGGTATACAAAACCAATTACTAAAGATTGATTTATTCATTTGAGCACACATTCTTAATTTTTAATATTCTGCATGTGCTTGGTGTTTATTACTGATGTTTCCATAAAAGAGAATTGAAATAGTTAAGCATACTTTTTTCACATACTTTCTTTTGATAAACAAAAGGGTCTTTAGACATTAAATATGATTATATAACCTTTGATATAAAGTGAGATGCAATTAATATGATATCTTCTTTTATATTGCAGGTTTAATCCAAAAAGATTGATTTCGGTTTATATTAGAATTGTATTCTTTATGAAATGTAAATTCGTGGTATCATGAGCCTAGATAAGGTTCCTTATGTCTATTTTTCGTAAATAAAATGTAATTATTATTTAGTAAAGGTTAGGATGCAGGGTTTTATTTTCTATGGGCAAACTCTCAGGTATGATCTTCATTATCAAACTTTAAATTCTCACTTTTTGGTTTTCTTTACCATCAAAGACATTTTAATTCTGAAATAAGCAGATTAAATCTGCCTAGATTTTGTAACACGCAATCTAAATGTTAAGTAATGAATAGGTATATCATATTCTTAGTTATTTTGCCTTTTGGATTTATAGGTATATCATATTTGACTTTTCTAAAAGTTATTTTGCATACTTAGACATACATTTCAAATTTACCTTTTGTTGTATCCAGAATCTTACACCGATGGTACAATGGCATCTGTGTTTTATCATAATGCCAAAAAGAATAGCAAACCTTAGATGAACACATAAATTCTATTTGCATATTTTTTTAAGAGTTTAAAGAAGATGTACCTTCTTCTTGCATGGGAAACAACTTCTAGTGCAAACTTCTAGAGCCTCTGCCAATTTTTGTGATTGTTAACCATAAATGAACCTTAGGGAAACCACATGAAAATCTATTTGCATAATTAAGTAGATGATATACCTATTTTCATAATGCAAAAGAGCTTGTCATGTATCCCAAAATGTGCAAAACATCAAGACCCTTGCAATTCTAACATTCAATGACAATGCACCCATGTTTATTGTTCACTTGGCTCTGGATGCGAATGTAATGAAGTTGGTGGTATATATATACTACTATTTTAAAACATCTCCGCAAACGTGTGATGAATTACCCCATGGGCAAAGAGATGCAATGGATTTTAAATATTAATGAGATGACATTTTAATAGAAAGTGCACAATGCTCAATAAGGTTGTAGGTATTCCTAGTTTCGTAGCCCATAGACAGCTTAAATGCCTTGATTTCGTATTATTCTTTGGACAAAAGAGTTATCCGTTAGCCGCCTGGATTCAATTTAATGGAACATTTAATGAATTGTACTTTTGGTCAACAAACAACCAAGATAATTCATTGAGCCACACAATCTGGGATATTGATATGATATTCAAGGATCTTGTAGTACAACTTAATTAATGGAAGCCCATTGCTATTATTATAAAAGGCACTGCCATTTTATTTGTGGTACAATTAAACTCTTTTTTTATTCATAAAAGCAACCATCATCGAACTGGAAGAGAGAGAGAAAATGTGTACCTAATAAGACTTTCAAATAAACATTTAATGAATTGCCTTGAGCCACACAACTGATGCATTAAATATTGGGCCTGCATTGAAAATAGCATTGGGCTGGCCATCTGACCCGTTTCTGCACCCATGGATAATCCGACCCGGCCCGTTACTGCACAGTGTTTGGGCGGGAACACTGTGCAGTTTTCATTTTGTCTTTGTATAATAAAAGATTTGACTGGTCTGTGTAAATGTTAATGACCATTAAAAGTGGTGGAAAAATTAATTATAAGAATTATATCACTACTTCTCATTTTATATGCTTTCGTTTTGACACAGTTTTTAATAAAGTGATTAAAAATGTAAAATTATGATTTAACATTTGAATATAGTAAAGTGAAATTATGTAAACCATGTATTTCTTTCAAGAAAATGAAATGTAACACTTGTTTTGGAATCATCCAAAAAGGAAAGTAAGACACGTAAAATAGGACGGAGTAACTATTAGAGCCCTTTTGGTAATATCCAAATAGGCTACTTTGGCTGATTGTGTTGATACTTATGAAGTTTTTGGCTGATTCCGATGATTTAAAAAACAAAAAAAATAAAATATATGCTATTATAAATACATCACATTCATTACAACAAAGGAGCTTTCAATAAAAGCATTCAATGGACACAAGTTAAGAAGCGTATGTGGCTTCATTGCCTTTTGGTTTTGCAACCTCCTTCGGTCTTAACGATGTGCCTTTGGATGACCTCGATCTCGTCCCCTTTTCACCTGCAAACACATCATAAACCAAAGACGAAGGGCAACAAGGTACAGTAGAAATGCAAAGAGGTCCAAGGCCTAAGTTGAGCAGTGATGATAGGAGAGGAATAAATGTTAAGTTGTTATGCGGTGCTAGTGAAGGGAAAGTGGGAAACTTCATAGTTGTGTAAATAAGAACAAAGCAACATAGTCCAACATAACATCACGCAGTGTGCAGGGGTTGTTGAAGAAAGCAAAAGTGCAAATGTTTGGTGGCGAAGCTATAAATATGCAAAGCTTTCTGAAATGCCATTGCATCAAAGGAAAAATATGAGAACTTTGGGCTATGCAATGCAAGTGTCCAAAATCCGCAATCCATGTATGGTTTCAAAGAAAGCAAATTAAAAGACATTCAAGTGCTATGAAGCCCTTATTGGCTGAAGTTGGGAAACTGAAGAGGTTAGAATATTGTTTAAGTTGCATAAGCCCAACCTCCCTACCTATCAACCATGCTGCTTTTCATGATTTTTTACGATTACACACATTGATGAAAAGTGGTTATACTTATCCAAAGAAACTACCAGGTTTTACATTTTGCCAACAGAACATGACCCATACAGAGCAACACAATAAAAATTTCATTCCCAAAATCATGTTATTAGCAGTGGTTGGCAGGCCTAAACTGGGACATGATGGGGAAGTTGAGTTCCCAAAAAACTATTATTAGCAATTTTTGGTTTGAATTCCCAAAAAAATTCAAAACTCATTTAAAACATCTTATGTGCTCAACATTCATTTGTGTATGTTCATTCCTTTTAGGTGTTATATACTCATTTGCGTTTAATATAAATCTCATTTCTATAATATGCAAATGTAATAGATTTATTATATAAAATATAATATTGTCAGCGAAGCCGCGGTGCGCGAAGACAACTAAATGATGGTGGCGATGGACGGCCAACAAGCGATGACGATGTTGGACGATCAACAAGCAAATGTGACCTTCTAAAACCGACTATACCTACGATGAGGGCCACCAAAGCTTCAGAAGCTAAGAGCCCGTTCGGTAATATCAAATTTGGTTGAATCGGTTAATTCTGCTGAAATATATAAAGTTTTGGCTGAATTGGTCGATTCTGTCGATTTAAGAAATAAATTATTTTAAAAATATACTCCGTATTTTTATTAATAAAATAAATAAATAAAATTATATCTAAAAATCACTAAATGGTCACCTACCACAACTTCAGTCAATACAACCGCGAAAGTAACTTCAACCTTACATTTTCTTACTATACAAAATTTAGTGTGCGAAATAAAAAAATACGTGTTTGGTGGGAAAAATGGATGATAAGCCAAGAAACAGGGTTACCAAACGGCCTCTAAATCTATCGATGTTGTGCGACTCGAGCATCGTGGATTTACAACCGAACAAGTGACGATGAGGGTAACGGAAGACGACAGCGATTTTGTCTTGACGAAGAAGACGATCGGCAAAAAAACTCAGAGCATATCCACATACGATTCAAAGGTCAGTGATAGGAGTTTTATTTAAATGTTTAAAGTCTTTATAGTTTTATCGAATTGTCTTTATATGCTACAAAAATAGACGAATGTATCGTGTTTAAAAAAAGTCTTGTGAGTGCGCATATCAATTTGGTTTAAGCGAACATAATCGTACCAAACTGAACTAAACCAAATTAAAATCATATCACATGCAATTTGGTTTGAGCCTGATAATATTTCTTCTGAACCGTATTAAACTGAATCGAACCGGACCGATAAAAATAGAGCAAAACAGAACCGAACTTGAGAAATTGAATAAAACTTTCACATGTTTACAAGAAACCACAGACCCAAACGGAATCAAACCACACTCACTCAAACCTATAAAAATCCCAGATTATCATAGCAAATTAAACAGAGTTAAGTAGAAAAAACTAAAAGAACATGTACCCTCCGGCCCTGCGCTGGTGACCATATATGAGTACAATCTCACTCTCCGACTACACATAACAAAAAGATCCTCCATGAATATCCTCAAGCTTCACCACGCGAACCACTATACTCCCAAACTTCCTCGACTTTCCGAAACTACTCTTCATCCACGCACATTAAATATCTGCCCGACTCGGTTTCTTTCTCCATCACGTGATTCTAAGACAGACAATTCCTGCAGTTTCACTAATTTCAGGTTCAGTTATCCCAGGGCATGGACTGCCCAGAGTCCAAATTGGAGCAGCAAAGAAGAACTAAACTGCTCGGGGGATGCTGAGGAGTATGATTACTTGGCGAAAGATGGTGCCGTTTTCCAGAAGACTCTCAGGCTTGTAGAGACTGCCATGTTCGCTGCTGTTTCTGGGTTAGCTTATCTATTGAGCAATTCTCTTGCAATTGAGGTAAATTAATAATTTCATTCTAGGTTTACCTGTTTCACATTTTTTTGAAATTCTTTTGGTCCTATTCATTGCTTTCTGATGATAAATTAGGCAGTAATCCTATGGTTGACGTTTAATGGAAGACATGCAATTAAAACTCTTAGGGGGGTGTTTGGTTAAAGTTATGTGAGGTTCCCTTGTTAAAGCAATATGGTATTGTTAGATTACCTTAGATAAAGTAATGTGAAATTGTAAGGTTGCATTGTTGGTTCATGTTTTGGGATTACTTGGGGAATCTAAAAATCTTATTACCTAAGGTGATCTTACATTCTGCGAAACAAATGACCCATTTCATTCCTATGGAAGTTATAATGAACAAATAACTGCTAAGAAAGACAATGCGGAAATGTTATGAAGAATACACAAAAAGACACGTGAAATGCTGGTCTACAATTCACTAAATTTGAGAGGTGCTGGAATATACTTCACTAGCAAAGGTTTGCACCTATCATCCATTCATAGTGAAATATAAATCCAGCAATCTTTATTTTATTTTCATTTTTTTTTGGGGGGGGGGGGTCGAGCCGTCGAGGCGCCATGTGTCTTCTTTTATTGTGGGATAATTAGTTGCATATGATTCTTACCCGGTTAGTTCTTTCACAGAATTACTTTGGATGTTTTTTTGCACTACCCATAGTAATATCTTCCATGAGATGGGGTGTTGCAGCAGGAAGAAAAACCATGGTCTGTCCTCACATTCATTACACATCATGATTTTTTAATCTATAATGGTATAATTCTCCACTTATACACAAAACTATCTTTAAGTATATATAGTTATACATTCTAAAAGTGGTTTATTTTTTCAATCTCTTCAGGTGGCAACTTTTGTGCTATTGTTTGTGCTGTCTGGACCCGTGAAAGCAGTTAACTATGTGGTGAGCAATGATAACATAGTTTTGAATATGGTGAAATTTACAGACTCCAGAGTACATTCTAAAGAAAACTACTACTCTACTAATAAACGCACCTCTTTCTTCAGTCATTCTAAAGCTGATGCTCTTATATGTTTTGTAGTAATGCACCAAGATAATGAAAAGTTATACCCCCTATCTCATAAAAAATAGTTTGTGTAATCAAAGTACAACTTTTTTAACTATGTACTGCATTGTAAGTCATAAATAGTACTTATGTTTTAGAAACTTTTAATTAAGTACTCCATATTAGACTTGTTCGACTTTATTATTTTAGAATTTTATTAAATACTTATCCAATGTTTAAAAAGGCACTTTTAAGTCATGAGGCATTTTGCATTTGCAAGGTGAGGCGCATGCCTCAAACTTTATACCTGAACTTCCTTTATAATTAAAAATTAAAATTATAAGCAGTTTAAATATCAATCATACATAAAAATGAGTCATAAATATGCGTCAAAGACCACTTCCTCAAGTTTAACTCTTTTAAGGGAAGCTTATAAAATTCATCATAATTTGAGAACAGAAAAATGTTAAGATGAGAAAAATGGAGAAGCAATGGCTGGATCCTGGATACTTTGATATCCTGGAGCAATTTGAATAAGAATAAAAAATAAAGAAGTTATATGTTACTTTGTTGTTATCGTTCAAATGACAAGAAACGAAAAACGAGTGGAGTTGTTTGAGTTATTTGAACCTTGTTGGAAAGAAGAGAATGGAAGAATATTTGGCAAATAGATTTTAGGTCTTTTTGATGAAATCTACACAGACCTTATTAAGTTACAGTCTGATAGTAAAACAGATCCCACCTCAAAACTGTTATGCGTGTGAGGCATGCCTCAAAACACGCCTCATAAGCGCCTTTTAAACCATGTACTTATCTGAATTTGATCTGCAACATTATTTTTTGGGACATCAATGCTGTTGACATAAGATTCTCTTTATGGGAATAATGGGACAAGAGCACATAAAATTTCTCATGGAAAGTCAGAAGTTCATCATGCTGTAAACTATGCTCCTTTGTAGAAATAGGTGGCATTTGACTTCTAAGATTGCCTCTTTTCTTAGTCATCGCTGGCCTTACGACTTCGCATATGTTTTGGTTCGTATGCATTTTGCTAATAGTATGTTCTAGTTACTGATTAGTTCACTTCTTCTTCCTCTCCTTCCCTTACCCAGCTAATGCATGGTTTACTTGGTTTTACTATGGGTTCTTTATGGAGGTACGCAATCATACCATTGCTTTCTAAATGCTTTGGTATCGTACTTGACTCATATTTTATTACCCCCATCCTGAAAGACAAAGAGTCCTATTTGTACCGTATTAAAAGTTAAAACTATAAAGATGTGTGTACCTTTGTGAAACATGTCTTTTTTTGGGATGAATGTAATATCTTTTTTTTAGATCATTCTAGGTGCTTTTTTCCTGTTATAAAATTTGTGGTAATGAATCAGTAGGCTCCCTATGTCCTCGCTATACTGAGATCAATACTCTAGTAATGAAAATCCCTATAAGACTATGATAAATTCCCTGAGAATTACAGACTATGTCTCATGTTGTAAAAATAAATGAAAAAATTTGAATGAATTGGAATCATTCTTTCTCCCATAAAAGGTGATCTGTTTCTTAAGGGTCCTTTTGCCACTCGGAAATAATAGTCAAAATTAGTTTGAACTAAAAAATTCAACTTCATTTATTTGGTCAAAAAATATGTGATAGTTTTCTTTAAAATAATCAATCTTTATATTCTTTAGCATTTGCCAGGTAATCCCAAACTAAGAGTCTGTTTGGTAACCCTTATTTTAAGCTTTATCAACCTTATCAATCAACTTTTTTACCCAACACGTAACTTTTGATATCGCGCGTTGAATTGTGTGATAATCAACATAAGTAAGGTCCGAGTTACTTTTCTAACTGAATTGGTTGAAGTTAGTATAAATTATAAATGGCCATTTTAGCTATTTTTCATATAATTTTTCTTTATTAATAAAATATATTTTGAAAATAGTTTTTTCCATAATTCAAAAGATTCATAGAATTCAAGCGTTTCAGCCGGAACTTCATCAATTTCAGCAGATTCAACCAATCAACCAATTGAGTGTTACCGAACGGGCTCTAAAAGAAAACTAGTTTTCTTAGTAGTTTTTACATTCTCTCTACCTTTTATACATTCCAAACATAACCGATGGGTTGCATTACTTGCATAATATTGTTTCAATTGTAATTTTGTCAGGTTTCGCACTAGTTGGATGCAATCAATCTTCTTTTGTGCAATTGTATTGTTTCCTCTTCCACTCTTACACCCTCCATAAGAAAACTTTATGTCCAGCCATTGTGTGATTTGTAGTAACTGGTGCTTGTTTATTTTGCAGGCTCGGGCAATAGGTGCTCTAGGGTATGTGCTATTGACTTCATTTTTAATAAGGGAAAACATACTCCAACTGGTATAAGTGTGATGGCTAAGTTATCCTTATTTATCCGTGTTTTTCTCCTCGTTCCTGCAATGTATAATGATTTTCACTTGTGATGTCTTTTCTCTGCTTTGTAGATTACCCTAAATATCCATGCTTCCCTCTCATACATTCTCACATCCATAGGAAGCAATTCAATTCCAACAATGGATGTCATATACACTATTTTTGGGACTGTGGTATGTATTTGAAGAGTTTCCTCTACTGCAGTGGACTGTGCATTGCTGAATATGTCACCTTAAGGGTAAAAGGGTTGCATCACCCTGTGAAAATGGGTTTTGGTTTATGAGTGAGAGTACATTGGGGAGAACTTATTTGTAAGAAAGTAGTGATTTTAGATGTAGAGAAGTATTTTTACCATGGGTCAGGACCAGCCTCTTTACATTTTTATCTAAAAACCCAGAACGCCAATCCCGCTAGGATCTTATGTGCCAAATTTGTTCACACTCGTTCATAAGTATGGACCAGGTTATTCACCAGGCTGTCCATTCAGGAATAAATATATTTATTTATTTTGGTAAACTTGTTTCTGTTCTTCAAATACTATTATAAGATATATGTGCATGACCATAAAAAAGTACTTTGCTATAACTCATAATAGCATACTAATTATAAACTTAAAATAAAAAATAACAAATAATACTAAAAGCTATTGACGCTCACAGATGTGGCGCGGGCCTATCGGAGCAAACAAGCCAAACGTTATTACATGTTCTGTTTTTCTTACTGACCCAGCAGCCTGATGGTTAAGTATGCACTTCCATACCTGCTCTTTTTATGGGCTGGCTAAGCAGGCTAGCCTGCATTTGTATAGGCCTACTTATATGCCATTAATTATCCCATGTACTCCGTATTACTTATAATATAACATTGTTTTTCTTGTTTTCCACTGGTGCACTGCTATGGATTGAATCATTGCTCCTATTTATGTTCCTTCTGCTTCAGAAATTAATCTTCTCTTAACTTAATAGAGCAAAGGCCTTATCTAGCTACCTCTCATATTTGCAGCTTATTATCAACTCCACTTTCTTTGTGTTATTGCTACACATTCTGTACGCGATCTTCTTTACCAAGTTCGGAATGAAGGCTTCATTGAGACTCCCAAAATGGGTGGACGTTGCAATATAATAGGGCATCAGAAGAGTAGATAAGAGATTCATATGCACAAACCTGAGAATGAAGCCTTGTTTTTATGGGGGTGTGAGGGTGTCTAATTTGCTGTCTAATGACAAAACTTCAAGTAAATAAGGGTTATGAAGCCACTGAAGCAAAAGTATTTGATGCATGCTGCATTGATATTATTAATTAACCCTGTCTGTAAGTGATGGGGTGCCTTCAAAATCGTGACAAGTACTAGGTAGCCACACTGATGGGTTGGTGTAAGCAAATCGGCTGGTGGGTTCACTGATGGGCGATGCCCAAAGTGAGCAATGAGGTGGCTGACGCCATTTGGGGCTGAGCAGGGGGGAGGGCTGGTCCCAGGGGTAACTTTTATTTCTGTATTATGGGGGTGTTTGGAACTGATTCTGCTTCTGCTTCTTTTTTAAAAGCATAAGCAGAATCAGAATCAGTTTTCAGAAGCTGGTACCCCCCAGCTTCTAAAAAAACTGATTCTGAGAGTAAATTAGAGCTCCAGAAGTGCTTCTGGAATTTCACCCAAACACTCCAGCTTCTGCTTCTGCTCCCTGAAGGAGCAGAATCAGTTTTGAGAATCAGATCCAAACACCCCCTATCATTTCATTATATAATATAAAGTAACGGTCGCTGCACCACAACTGGAGGGAAAAATCCCGCCCATTTCAAGGGGCATAATTGGAAATCCTTATGCAAAGTTCTAAAATGCCGCCTATGTTACTAAGTACTCTGTATAAATTGTGCAAAGTATTGCTACCATTTTTAGTCTTTTAGTCCCTGTCCATACATGGAATCATTCATTTAGGCCCTACAATAATAAAAATTTTCCATAAATAAAAACATTCCATATATTTGGTCATGATTATAGAATGCAAAACACACGTATGATTTATTTAAAGTTCCATAACATTTCACAACTACAAAATCACACATAAATTCCTACTCAAAATTTTAGATTTCATTAGGAAACTTTCGGTTATGAAATAAACACATTTTATTAATATTTTCATAAAACACAACCATTAAACATTGCTACTAATTAATTCAACTTTAAAATTCATAACCGTATAATTTTACTATAAAAAATATGAAGTACAGTATTTCACTAGAAGATTTAGCTTTGTTGAAATTAAATCAATATCGTAATTCAATCATATAAATCTGATAAAAAATAAGTCCATGTATTAGGAAATTTTTTGCTAAAATAATATTTTCAATTCTTAATTTATGAAAAAATATACTCCGTATAATTTAGCGAGCCTAATTTATTGAGAAATCTTTCGGGTTGCCCAATGTTTAATTCGTATGCAAAATGTATGCATAATATATTTATACACTATAATAATTTAGACTGATACAGAATTGACATCTGAAAAAAGTATAAATGGAAATATTAATAGATGAGTCTCCTTAAATATGACTAAAAATAGATAAAATGCATAAATAAGATTATCATTGTTTTCTTACTAAAATATGACTTATTCAATCCTAATAGGAAAAGTTTTCTACTTTTATGAGATCACATAAGTCCTATTTTGTGAATATAAGTACTCTTATTTGTACACTTTGTCTAAGTTTCAGTCATATCTAAAGAAATTTCTAATGACCGTAACCATAATGTAAACAACCAATTAATCAATTACATAAACATTAACAATCTTAGTGTGATTGACACTCGGGGGTGTTTGGTTGTTTGCACGTTAAAATTTTACACGTGAACTAATTACATGTGAAGTGTAGGGACACAAACATTTTACGAGTAAAGTCTAAATATATTGTTTGGTAGTTCTTACATTAAAACTTTACATTGTTTGTTTGGAAAGTAATTGTACATGCAACATATTTAAAAAACGATAAATAGCCCTTTAGTAAAACATGGAAAGTGGCGTGCAAAAAAAAAAAAAAAATCAAGTAAATTAATTTAACTCAAGTAAATTTTCCAAGATTTATCCTTTTCAATTATTTTCAGTGATCAAAATGATTAATGAATGAATTTATCAGTGAGGAATAATAAGTCTAGATTGTTTGCCTTCTTCAAACGCAAATGGCAGAAATAAATTTATACCCAGAAATTATGTTTGCCTTCAAAAGAAATTGCACCCTTGGCAAAGGATTTGGCGGCTTACATATACTCCGTATATAACTACGAATCAACCAAAGTGTAGAAGCCGTAATTCCATGTTCAGTATTCTCCATCGTATATATATAAACGGGTGTAAAATAGTTTACTACCCTCCACCCACGTAAAATTTTTACATGGTACGATGTAATTTTTTTAAAAGTGTTCTACAGTTTACATTAAGGAGTTAAAACAAACGGTGTAAAATGTTTACGTCCCCACGCTTTACACGCAAAGTGTTTACTTTACATCATAACAAACACCCCTAGGTGTGATCAGCATGTGCATAATTATAATATCCAAATTATCATAAAAACAGCCACATAAAAGACTATTTATATTTTTTGCAACGAACTATTCATAATAGAACAACAAAAGTTCTGATTTTAAAATTCACAATCGAATAATTTGAACATAAATAATACGGAGTACATTATTTCATAATTAGGAAATTTGATTTTGTTGACATTAATTCAATATCAATACAATAATTCAACCATATAAATCAGGTCATAAATTATTTCATGCATTCGGAAAGTGCGTGTGCTTCTAAATCATTCTTACGTTATTCTTGTTTTATTAATTCAATATCAACTACATAACTCACTTTTTCTTATCCCGCTCCACCTCCTCATAACCTCCTCATATCCTAATGTTAGTGAGACGAAAGTAGTTAATTATCTAAATGAATTGAAATTCAACTCAAATCTATATAATATAGAGTTGGTATATGTGAAATTGAGTTGTGATACGTTACCTACTTTATAAGAATTTAATTTCAATTATATATGAATAAAATCACAACTCGCTAATTATATATGAACATTTTTCCAAAATGAAAATAAAAAAATGTAAAATTATAAAACATAAGTACTATTTCCCCCTAAATAGGGGCAATCATCTTGAAACTTTACAATCATACATTTCAAGTATGTTAGCAATTACTTCTGTTTATGTAATAAAAACACAATACTAACATTTGGATGTTGTACACTAGCTGTTTTCATCCCGATTTAGAGCAATTTCATATTATTCAGTCCACATTATTTTTTATTTAATTATACCTGATAATAATAAAATACTTTGAATTTATTTTCTTAAGTATATCCTCATGATTTAATAATTTTTTTACTATCTTCAAAATCTTATCAACTTAATAATCTTCACATTGCTTTAGTGATTCGAATTTTCAATCCAATACATATTTTCCTGTCCCACAAATTAAACTTAGCCATATTCACTCCCCTTGATCCCTTGATCAATGTTGGTCAAATTTGACCAACAATATCTTTTTTATACAAAATTATTTGAAATTTGGAAATTGTATGAATATATTCTATTTTTAAAAATCCTTTCATAAAAGTATAAACTTTATGAGTTTGACACGAATACAATACAGCGCAACTGCAATCATTGTCTAAAATTTATTATCATTGATCTAGAATATTAAATTTGACCAAATTTTATAGAACCTAAGGGAGTATAATGTCATAATATTGTCATTATTGATGATTTTATTACTTAAATTTTCCTACAAGAACGTGACAAACCATTTTTATTGAACTATTTGACATGGAGTATTTATAAATTATTTATATACTATGTAGTACTTTGCACTATTTTATTAAGTTTAGCACTGTTTCGGTATATTAATGACACTGTTGTTATATTATTTGGGAATGTCATGCATATTTTTAGACTTATCTTCTAAGTGTGTTATTATCTCTCCTTTTTAGATTACTTATCAATTTAAAAGATTTAAACAAGTCATTTTTTCTCTTCTAGATATATCCCGTGCATCGCACGGGTACTTCGTCTAGTACGGAGTATATGCTAACAAAAAAGTTTTTTTTGCCACTTTTGGTCCCATTAGAATGTATCAAGTCTCATATATTTAATCCTCTTCTTTAGAAAGTCTCATTTTAGGTGCATCGTTTTGTGATCATTTCAAAAAATAATATTTACGGAAAACTTAGGACATAAAAGTTCTAAAAAAGTATTATGTATTTCTGTACCACATAACTAATAAGACATTTATGCCCTTTACTAAGTGACTCCAGCCTTAACCGTCGGCCCAGTGACCATTGTCAAGCCCTGGTGACAGTCACAACCAACCCAATGACCTAATCTCTGCCACATTACGAACGACCGCCCCCTCCTCGACTAGTTAGCATTGTCGTCACTGTTGTCAGCCCCTTGTCACAATCGCCCCGCCATTGCCACCCACACTCCCTCCCCAGATAGAGTCATTTGAAGATGCAATTCCACTGAATGGTTTGACCCTCCTATGGAACCACCTTACAACCACCTCCATTTGAGGTGCTTCTTGATGAATTTTTTTGATAAAATTTTGTGAACATGTTTTAATGAAATGTAGATTATGACATTATGTCCAAGCTATATATAAAATTAGTTAGGGAGTTAGGTAAATAAATTATTGAAAAACATTGTGCCAAGCTATATATAAAAAGCGTCGTGTTTTATACATTATCTCTATATATCTTAAAAGATATATGTATATTGTTGGGTATTGGATCTCGGCCTACTGTTTTCCTGGAAGCCCAATACACTAGCCCGTAATGTGACTCATATCTACCCATTTGACCCATTGAGACAAATTTGTACCCCTTCCCCTTTTTCCTATAAATAGGAGGTTTCCCTTCATTATTGAGAATGCTTTTTTTCTTTCTCTCCCCCTAGTTGGATCCTTCTTTTCTCTCTCTACCTAGTATTCTTCTTCTTCTAGTATAAAAAGCTTGGAACTCGATTCATGACTCCCAAAACTTAATACTTGTATAATGTAAATGATGAGGAGAGATTTATAAAAAAAAAAGTGATTTGGACATTAGTCCGAAATGTCACATGATTTTCACCCTTTCGGGCCTCCACGTTGAAATCAAGTATTCAGACAATATTTACATATATTTATACAAATTTGTGTTGGATTAATTTCAAGAAATGTATAACTGTAAATATAACTATATAAATATAAGTATAAGTCTGTAGCACAAGATTATTACCACTTTATCTTTATTTATCTTCAAGTTTGGGACCCTTGAATTGACACCCCCTACACTGTCCTCACAAACCAACATAAGCCTTTATCGCACACTTTGTCTTGACTCATACACACCTGAGAAACTTTCCAAAAGTTCATCATCCCAAGGCTATTCCCTTGCGATCATGCGCACCCTAAGAAATTCCCAAGGATCACCCATCCACATATGCACTACTCCCGTGCGAGCATACTTGACTTGAACTTTTTAGCGGATGAGTCTCTTTAAAAGATGGTACACTTTATTGATATGAGTAATACTATTAATCATTTTAAGCTAACCTTAAGTATTACACTTTTGCAGATCGAGCAGCAATGTGATTTGAGTTCTAGTCATCTTTCACCATCTGTTTTCAGTTCATTAGCTGATATTTTCCTCATTTTTTTGTGTTCCCGGCTTATTATAATAAAGTGGAGGAAGAGGGATATTTCTATAAGTGACATGCAATTTCTTAGAACTATGCATTGGATTTTTCGAGACTTCATAAATCTTCATATGTTTGTCTTTGTAATAGCAAATATTAACATAGTTATACACGGGACCTTGCCATATATGAGCCAAATTGCAAACACTCAATGTATATTGGTATTCGTGTCAAATCTCCA